ATTGATTGTGTTCTAGACGGATTTGACGATTTGGGGCATGGGGCCCCTTCTGGGCGTCCTGCTTCAAGCCTCTTCGGTCGTCTTGGAGACTTCTGTGGTCGTCTTGCGTCCATCTCGGGCGTCTTGGGTTCATCTTTGGCCGTCTTGGGGCCGTTTTGGCCCGACGTGGGGGCTGTCCTGGACCCTCTTGGCCCGTCTTGGTGTGCTTTTGTCTCCGAAGCAGTCACGCGACAAGACGCGGTAAGGCCGAAGGGTCACGCGGGAAGCCCCTCTACATATGAGAATTCAGAGTCCGGGTCGTTTCAAGGCTCCTCAGGATGAGGACAGAGGTACCCGACCCGAGGGTACGCCCATGCCGTGCCCGAGGCACGGTCGCGGATTACGATCCGTCTTGACGTGCGTTCAGTGACCCCTTGGTTTTTTTTTGGGGGGGGGGCGGTCGCTGGTGTTGGGGGGGGGTCAGTTGGAGGTTCCGCGTGGCGGCCTCAGGGCAGCATGGGTTGTGTGGATGCCATCTCAGACGTTCTGCGGCTTTTTTTGGGGGTGGGCGAGTCGGGATTCTCTGGGATTGTCTGTGGGCCTTCTTGGGAGGCCTCAGGGGTTGTTTTTTGGAGCTCAGGAGCGAGCCGAGGGACTTTGGCGCATCTTGGGCCGTGTCGGCGCCCTTTTTGGGGCGTCTTGGGAGTCTCTTGAGCCGTCTTGTGGCGGTCTTGGGAGCTTCTTGGACCGTCGTCAACGCCGAGAAGGCCGAAAAGTCGTACATGCTGCGTGGGCCGGGGCGTGGTGGAAGCGCGGTGGGGGGCATGGTGGGGGGCGTCGGTCGGTTTTAAGCGAGAAATACTGGGGTGGGGGGTCCCAAGAACAGAGGCTCCATCTTCGCCCGATCTATCTTTTTACTCTGGGCTTGTAGATGCTCGTGTGTCACGGTGTTCGATCCAGTTCCTTGTTTGTCTGGGTTTGCAGCTGCCGTGGACTGTTTTTTTTCGCTGGTGATATCCTTGCAATTCCGAGAATACTCCAACACCAGTGCCGTTAGCAGCACGCCAGAAACGGAGGAGGAGGAGGAGGAGGAGGAGGAGGAGGAAGAGGAGAAAGAGAAGGAAG